CCCATCCCCATCCCACAGTACCCCCTGGTTCCCCTCGGGGTCCCCATCCCGCCGTGTCCCCGTGCAGGGGCGACACTCAGATCCCAGGGTCACCAAAAGCCCTGGGCGTCCCCCAGGAGCGGGGCTGAGGCTGCAGCCGGGTTTTGGGGTGCTCGGGGGACCCTCCCGGGGGTCTGAGCACGGGCTGAGCCGGGCAGGTGCTCCTGTCCCGGGGAAATCCAACGCTGAATAACGGAGGGCACCGAATTCCCCTTTGACTCACCGTGGGTCCTGCCCGGGGCTGCCTCAGCCCTGTCCCTGTGCCCCACCGGTGCCACCCCACCGGTGCCACCCAGCCCCTGCCACCCCATTCGTGCCATCCCACCGGTGTCACCCCACAGGTGTCACCCACGGGCTTTTCCCAGGRGTGCGCATTGGGGTTCTCTTGGGAGYCCCATGAAAGCCCCRTGAGGACATCAGAGAAGCCACTCCACCCCTCCAGTGACATTCAGCCGGGTGTCACCCCGTGTCCGGGGTCCCTCCCCACGGTCCGGGGGGTCACGTACCTGCACCTCCCCTCTGCAGCCCTCTCCAGACCTGGGTGGGCAGCTCGGTGGTGGCACTGYCACGGTCGCCGTCACGGTCACCCACAGCGCGCCAAGCTGGCCYGGGCTGCCTCATGGTGACATTGTCCCCACCAGGAGTGTCCCCAGATGGCCGTGGTGGCCGTCCCGGTGGCGCTGCTGCTGTGACTGACTCAGGCAGTGGGGCCGGCGGCAGAGCCGGTGGCACCGGCACACGGCACCCGCGGGGAACGAGTGACTCCATGGGGACACATGACCAGGTCTTAGGATTTTTGACTCAGCGGGACCGGTGGCAGTGGGTGGCCCAGTCCCCGTGGTGGCCCTGGCCAGGCTGCAGGACACTGCGCTCGGGGTGGCTGCGGCGRTGGCCTGGACAGGGCTGTGTGGCATGTGGCACATGATGCCATGTGACCCCTGCCACACCGTGGCATGGCACAGCACAGCTTGTCAGGTCACTGCGCTGTGTGCCATGTCCTGTGCCACATCCCAGTGTGTGCCATGTCCTGTGCCACACCAAGGGACACATCCCATGGTGTGCCACATCCTCTGCTGTGACACATGCCATGCCATGCTGTGCCACACTGAAGTGCCATGTCCCGTGCCCTGCCAGGGGCCACATCGCAGCATATGCCACATTCTGTGCCATGTCCCGTGCCATGCCAGGGGCCACATCGCAGCATGTGCCACATTCTGTGTCACGCCACGTGCCACACTGAAGTGTTATGTCCTGTGCCATGCCAGGTGTCACACCGTGTTGTCCCGCATCCCCCCCATGTGCCACACCACTCCATGTCATCCCCTGTGCCCTGGCAAGGACAACAAGCACAGCCTGGCCACTGAATACAGCCCCTCCCTGCCCACCGGGACAGACACAGGGACACGGGGACACGGGGACAGGGGGACACGGGGACAGGGGGACAGGGGGACACGGGGACAGGGGGACACGGGGACACACGGACACAGAGACATGACTCCTCAGTGGCCCACAGGCCTAGGTCAGCACTTTATTTCCTTCTGCCGTTGTACAAAAATAAAGAAGTGCCACGTGGGCAGGGGGCACTGCCCTTCTCTGCGTACCAAAAATATCAATWAACATAAATAAACCCTTGTGATGTCCATAGTTTAACACCGTACCAAAAAATATAACAAAAATAGATATTTATATATTAGAAACGTCCTTAAATACTTCTGCAAGCAGCAGGAGTTAAATTAACCCTGAGAATCAATAAATACAATCAACACACAAATAATAATGTATAAATTAGAGGGGAGGCAGTGGGGGCTGTCACCCACTGTCACAGTGCAATGGCCAGAGCCACGTCTCTGCTGGGCACAGTCAAGGCTGTGGTGACACAGCTTGGGATGCTCAGGGGGGACACAGAGGGGACAGGGATGCTGAGAGTGTGGGAGCACCGAGAGTGAACCTGGGGACACTGAGCACAGGGGACACTGTGCACGCAGGGAGGAGGACAGGGATGTGCAAAGGGACACTGAGCTTGTGGTGACACCAGGCCCGGAGTGTGCCGGGACAACGACCCTGCAGGGACAGGATTCCACTCCCAGCTCCTCTCTGGGAGCAGAGCAGGCRCAGGGCAGGCAGGGGGTGACAACACCGGTGACAACGGCCGGTGGCAGCAGCGCTCTCCGTGKGTCCGGTGGCGGCTGCTCTTAGTCAGGCTGTGTCACCCGACCCATTGAATCACTGGAAAATCCACCAGGGCTCGGCGACAGGGGACAGCTGGGCACCCGGGGGACACCCGGCTCCRCCGGGGCCACCTGGATCCACGGGAAAGCGGGGCAGGATGTGGGAGAGCCAGCCAGGGCTGTCCTGCAGCCGAGAGGTGGCACGGGGGGACAGCAGGGTCCCCGTGGCGAGCCGAAGATGCTTTCAGTGCGTTTGTGTCCTCGCTCAGGTGAGGTGGCCGGGGCCCCGCGGTGCATCACGGCCATCGGACGCACCTCCATCCCGGMTGGAGATGATGCTGGAGAGGCAGACGGGATCTCCGGTGCCGGTGGGCTGCCCTAGGGGCGCGCAGGCAGCCGTGAGCCCCGCCGCGACCTCCCCTTGTCCCAGCGCCGCCGGAGGGTCCCCGCGTCCAGCTCGGCGCTGCGCTCGGCCATGAAGCGCGCGTAGCTCCAGAGGATCTGGCAGCCCTGCAGCTTCTGTCGGAAGATGCTGGTGGGTGCCGCGGGGCTGGGGAGGGGCCGGCGGCCGGGGCGGGGGCTGGGGGCCGGGAAGAGCCCCGCCAGGTTGTTGAGGAGCGCTCGCACCTTCCAGCGGGTCCTGCTCAAGCGGCGAAGGATTTCGGCCTCGGGGGGGTGGAGGTCGCGCTGGTGCCGCAGGATGTCCTGCAGCGCCCGGTCCATGTGCATCATGGGCCTCCGCAGCCTCCGCAGCCCCCAGGACCCCCTCGCCGGCCGCTGCAGCCACTCGGGGGGATTGCTGGTGCGGCAGATGTTGTGGATGTCCAGGTGCTGTTCCTTCTCCTGCTCCGGGATGGGAGAGGGAGATCAGCGATGTGGGAGCGCAACAGGGACCGCTCCCCGCCTGGCCGTGGAGGCGGGGACAGGCGCGACCCCCGCCCGGGGAAAGGGACTCACGTAGAAGGTGAAGAGTTCCTGCGCGTCCTCGGCCATGAGCCTCACCAGCGCCTGGGTCTGCTGCACGGTRGGGGCCAGCGGGGACCTGCCCCCCTGGCCCGGCACTGCCCAGAGGATGAGGAGCCCTTTGGTGACAGCTGGGGACGAAGAGGAGGGAAGCGGGGGACATTGGGTCATTGCTGGGCTCAGGAAYGCAGCCCCTTCTCACCAGCCCTGCACTGCCCAAGATCCCGTCCCTGCTCCCAGGATGACCCAACCCTTGCGCCGAAAACCCGCTGGGGACCCTGCGGAGAGGAGGATGAGGGTGATGAAGGCGCCGTGGAGCAGCCGGGATGTGCAGATCAACCACAGCAGCTGCTCCAGCAGCTCTCCCTGCCAGCCTGGGCCACCACCAAGGAGGGGACAGCAGTGACACTCCTGGGTCCAGCCCCTCTGTCCAGCTCTGGCCAGGCACTGTCCCGGCCCCGCTGTCACCCACAGGACTTCGGTTGTGGCACTGGGCTGACACAGAGCCTCTGTCCCTTTGAGCAAGGTGACCCCAGACTGCCCCTCGACGTGTCCCCTCACAGCATCCCCTCTCTCCCAGGCTCCCTGCGCTCCCTGTGCCATGTGCCACAGTGGGGAATGTCCCCGTCCCGGCCAGCGTCCGAGGGAGGTGACACCACAGTCTCGGTGCCACCAGCCACGGCAACGCTGACTCAACGGCCATGGGGGCCCCGCGGCCGCGCTCCCTCCCGCGGCTCCCGGCCGGGCCGAGCCAGAGGGGACGCGGGGACCCGGCGACACGGGCACACACCTACCTGCCAGCACGCCCCAGGGCCGCCCGTCGCACCGCATGGCCGGGGCAGGGTGTCCGCCCGTGGCTGCCGGGCGCGCGGGCCACTTCCTTAACTGCTGGGCGATGGGGAAGCTCGGCTTTTAAAGCGCACCCGAGTCACCCCCACCTCCGCAGGAGGCACCCGGAGCAAGCGGAACAGCAGCGACAAGAGAAGCYGTGCCCCGAGGGCCAATGAGCAGGGTGAGAGCCGCGGCGGGAGGGAACCGGACCGCCGGSTGATGGGGATTCTTCGAGTCAGTTCCTCGAGGGAGTCCGGGTCCGTGCCGCCTGGGAGGATGCGCTCCCACGGATCGGGCACTGCCGGACCGCCGGTTCCGGGAAAGAGACTTTTGGAGCCCCCCTGATGTCACCGCTCAGCACCCAACGGGTTGAACTGAAACCAGCGCCGGCTGCCCCGAAACCCCAATGCAAAAGAGGGCAGCGGCGGCTGGCAGCGGGGACAGAGATGTCACCCATGTGCCACCACGGGGTGTTTTCGCATCCCAAATCCAGCCGTGGGAGACAAAATCTGCTCTGGCAAGAAGGGAGGTGGAAGTGCGGGAAGTGCAGGACTGGGGACCGTGCGCTCGGTGATGCTCCGGGAGATGCTCCCTCCACCCGCTCCCACCCCGCTCCAGGTGACAAATTTGGGTGCTGAACCAAGTGGGCGCCACCAGGCTCAGCCCCTCTGCCCGGCAGCACCCACGGCAACACTGAAGGCGCCGGGTGYTGCCCAAGGCAGCGCTGCCCCTTGYGTAACACTGCCCTGAGAGTGCCCTGGGGCTCGGCGCGGCCCCCCCGGCACCGCCCGGGGCTGGGCACGGCCCAGGGCAGTCCCCCTTGTCCCCCTGGGCTCCCCTTTCCTGGCAGAGGGAGCCCGGCAGGGGATTTCCCGTTCTTTACGGATTAATGCCCTTGATCAGCGTTCCGAGGGGTGTCGCAATCCCGTTGATTTCGGTGACCCTCGGAGCCACCCCGAGCCGAATTTACGCATTTGGAGAGTTCCGTGGTGGCGCAGGGAGACAACCCAGAAATGAACACCTCCTTCCAGGAGGAAGGATGCAACAGTGACTCACTTTCAGAAGAAGCGCTTTCTTTTCCCAAAATTTCCCTGCCTCGGCTGCGCCACGACCGGCAGGGGCTGCTTCCTCCAGCAGCTGCCTCTGACGACTCCTCCTCTTCCTCCTCCTCGGGGTGTCTCCGGCAGAGGTGGCGGCCCGGGTGGGTTCCACGGGTCGGGATGGGCAGAGTTGTTCTCAGGGCAGTCCTGGAAGGGTGGAGGGGCCAGGAGATCTTCCTCGCTTCACAATGTTTGTCCATCCCTCAGGCTGCCTAGATAGGCTGTTAGCTGGCTGTCCACATATCTGTCCATCCATCCACTCATCCAACAATACACCTGTGTGTAAATCCATCCATCCATCCATCCATCCATCCATCCATCCATCCATCCATCCATCCATCCATCCATCCATCCATCCATCCATCCATCCATCCATCCATCCACCCACCCATTCACTCATCCAACAATACACCTGTGTGTAAATCCATCCACCAATCTGTCCACGTGTCCATCCATCCATCCATCCCTGTCCATCCATCCATCCATCCATCCATCCATCCATCCATCCATCCATCCATCCATCCCTGTCCATACATGTGCTGTAAAGCCCTGGACACCCTGAGCAGAGAATCAGGAAGGGCCCCACCTTCAGCTCTCCACTGGCCACAGGTGGCCCTGGCCCCTCCACATGGCACTGCCACCCTCTGGGCTGGGCCAGCAGGGCACCACAGTGGTGGCCACCCYGCTGGTGGCACAGGACTATGCAATACCCAACAGGGACAAAAATAGTGCCGGTGACCGCATGGGCCGGCGGCAATTTCTTCATCGCTGGGAGCGCGTCACCGGCGTCCCATGACTCGGAGAAGGGACCGAGACAGGAAAGAGAGCGCCCGGAGAGCTGGCAGGAAGTTGGCRGCTGCAAGTGTGCGGGGCTGACGTGGGCAAGATGTGCCAGGAGCGGGGCATGGTCCTGCCCAGGATGTGGGAGAGCTGGGGATGGATTTTGGGGAYGGGATGGGAGCAGAGGTGCCCACCACACTCGTGCTGGGTCTGGCTGAGGAGCAGGCACAGCCCCCATCCCCTGCACCTCACTYTGCCACAGGACAGGGGGACACAGTGACAGTGTGACAGAGACATTCCAAGTTCTGGGATCAAGCTCACGCCTCAGTTTCCCCCTGCTCTGGCCATGGGTGGGGCAGGAGGAGGGCAGGAATGTGGGCCTGGGTTTCCCCAGGGCTTGTGACTTAGCAGGGGCTGCATCTTTCACCCCTTTTTCCACCCAAAATATATGTCAGAGTGAGTGGCCCTGTCCTGGTCACCTTAGAGCGGGACCATGTTCCCCTGTCCCACCCCAGCCCCTGCCACCACCACAGGGACCACCTCTGGGCAACCCCCCTGGGCCACAGAGAAATAAAAATAATAAGAATTTTATTGACTTGTGAAAAACCATGTGAAAATACAGCTTGTGAGGAGCTGGGGGTCACTGTCACCCCTCCATGGCAGGGGACAGCCAGGGCTGGGAGTGAGCCACGGTCCCCCCACTGGCCCCCTGGAGATTTTTAGGGTGTGAGTGGTGACCCCAGCTCCGGGAATGCTTTCCCCTCCATAGGGCTGGTCCAGGGGTGTCCCTGAGCATCACGGCCAACCCTCCCTTCCCAAAGGCACCACCCGTGGGGACACATCCCATCAGCCCAGGATGTCCCCAATAGCACCACGGTGGCACATCACTGCTCTTTGGCATGTCTCCTGCGTGTACCCTCCACCTGGAGAGACACAGTGCCCCACAGGCCGGGCTGGAGGGGCAGGATGGCACTCAGGGACTGACCCCTCTCCCATGGGACGCTGCCACAGGCCACAATGTCCCCAAAGCCACCACATCCCCAGCACAACAGGAAGCAAAGCTGTRCCCAGCTCTGCCCCGTGCTGGGGGATCATTGAAAATTAACAAATGGGGGTGGAGAGGAGGGGACACCCCATCCTGCCACCACCCCGGGCCACCCGGCATGGGGACAGCCGGCCGCTATCTGCTGCTCTCCTGCCGCTGCTGCAGCAGCTGGATGACCTCGGCAATGCCCTCCTCAGGGACCTGGAGGGGCACAGAGAGGGTGTCAGCCCCAGGGGACACCCCCGGGGTAGCAGAGGGATCCCCGGGGAGGGGCAGGGGCTCACCAGGGCGTGGTCGAAGTTGAAGGTGCTGATGTAATAGGCCGAGATGTCAGCGGCCGCCAGCGGCTCCGCGATCTGYGCCACGATGCCACACTCATCTGGGGGAGCAAAGGGGGTCCCAGGTCACTGCCTCGGGGACACACAGGGACAGCAGCRCCCCAGAGCACCCCCTGGGTGGCGGTGGCACAAAAGGGACACGGCCGCCATGGCCACACTCACCGAAGCCGAGGGGCTGTCCCCCRATCCGCACCATCCGCCACAGCTCCCCCGTCGAGCTGGTCAGCAGGAGGTCACTGGGGAACCTGGGGRGAAAGCCAAGGGTCACCCCCTCCCTGAGCCCCCAGACCAAGGGACAGAGGGACAGAGAGTCCAGGGGTGGCACCTACCGCTTCTGGGTGTCAGCATCCATGACGATGGAGATGTAGCCCTCGATGAGGGAGAAGGAGAAGAAGGTGATGGAGTCCAGGTCCTGGCTGCCAGTGGCTGCATCCCACGAGGGGCTRGCGTGGGGAAGGGACACAGGGAGGKGTCAGGACCCCCAAAGTGGGGAGGAGAAGGGCTCGGTGGGGGAATTGGGTGTCTGAGCTGTGCTGGGATGCTGCAGGGTGGGGAAGAGGGGACAGGAGCAGGTGGTGCCTGCAGTGTCTGCAGGTTTTGGGGTATTTCCAAAAGGCCACAGTCACTCTGGAGCAGGAGGGTGCCACCAGGAGGGACCTCATCCCAGGGGACACAGGAGGACCTGGCCAGGAGAATTCCCTGCCCTCACTGACTTTTCCACCCCTTCCTGATTTACAGACTCTCTACAATGGTGGCTTTGTCCCTTGTGTCACCTCCTGGGTCTCACCCCTCACACTGCAGCTCTCGGGAGGGCAAAATACACCCAGAGCCTGAAATCCCGCTGGGAGCAATGGCTGGGACATGTCCCCACAGTTCAGGTGGCACCGAGCATGGGGTCACCCCCGTGTCCCCGTGCCCRGGACTCACCTGTGGGAGTAGAAGAGGACATCGATGAGCATGGTGGCGATGGCGGGCAGCGTGTCGGGGGCCACCGTCAGGACACAGAAGCGGGTCTGGGGGCTCTGCACGGGGTGCAGCGTGGGGCTGGCGGCTGGCAGGGGAACGGCCGCGCGTCAAYCCTGGCGACAGCTCGGGGACAGTCCCGCAGTGCCACCCCGTGGCCACCGCGCCTACAGCCCGGAGTCCCTCAGGGAGCAGAGGRGTGGCCCGGGGGTCCCCAAGGATGTGATAACCACGGGTGAGAGCTGGAACACCTCGGCAAGAATCAGGTGACACTGGAAGTCCCCAAGGATATGGGAACAACGGGTGGGACCTGGAGCATCTCAGCAGGGACCAAGTGACCCTGGGGACAGGGTGACCTTGGGGACCCACAAAGCCACAAGCACTAAAGGTGGGACTTGGGGCACCTTGGTACTTCGGGGACCAGTGGCCCTTGGGGACAGGGCAGCCCTGGGTGTCCCCCAGCATGTGAGTACCTCCACTGGAGCATCTTGGTGGGGTCCCCCAAACACATGGGTACCACTGGTGGGAGCAGGGAGTGAGTGGCCTGGGGACAGGGTGACCACGAGGGTCCTCCAGGGTGTGGGAACCACTCGTGGGAGCAGCATCTTGGCAGGGACTGGACGGCCGTGGGACAGTGTGGCCTGGGGACAGGGTGGCCCTGGGGGTCCCCCAAGGATGCGAGCAACTCCAGTGGGAGCTGGAGCATCTTGGTGGGGACTGGGTGGCCCCAGGGGACATGGGACTCAGTGCCACTCACCCGGCTTGGGCTTGAGGAAGCCGTTGCTGACGTCRTCGCAGGTGACAGGGACACACTCGCCGCTCTCCTCCCTGTAGATGTCGAACTCACCGTTCAGCGTGTGGATGACCACGGGCAGGTCCCGCTCCCGCACCTGCCCCAGGCACAGGATCAGGGCCYGGACTGCCACCCCTCCCTCGGGACAGCCAGCCCGGTGCCACCATCACTCACCAGGATGAAGTCGGTCTGGTACGTGGACAGCATCAGCACGGACACGTGGTGCTCGGCCAGCGGCGCGATGACCGACCGCGCGATCTTGGTGACACCGGTGGCCTGGCAGCCCGAGGGCTCCCGCCCGTTGGACACCACGCTGAGCACCAGCCACGTGGAATCTGCCACCTGCATGAACTCGGAGGGAGGCAGCTCTGCCAGGGACAAGGGACACTGAGGCTGGTGGCTCCCCGGGACTCAGAACAGCTGGACACAGAGCCAGCGCACCATGTGTCACTGTCCCCAGGGTGATATGCAAGGACAGGGCCATCCCCAGGCGTGGGGACAGTGCTTTGGGGGTGGAATGAGCCAGACAGGGCTCAGCTGCTCCACACTGGGATTTGGCCATGGGGATGAGGGGAGCCAAGGCTACAGCCTCCCCAAACCCCAGGACAGGTCTCTCCTTCCTGTGCCAGCACTCCAGGCTGGGTGTGTGGGGGTGCACCCCAAAAACAGCACCATCATGGCTCTGGGGCTGCCCAGCTCATCCCCTGCCCACCAMCAGTCCTCAGCCCAGTGCCCACCACCAGGGATGAACATGGGGATGCACCAGAGGAGACAAGGGGAGGGTCATCCCGCTGTCCCAGGGGCCCAGCACCTGGTGCCAGATGGGGGGAGCCCAGGCTGGTAGAGGGCCTCAGCTGCTTCCCAAAAACCTGCTGGCATTGGCAGGCTGGGCATTTGCCAGCTGTTCCTGCCTCCCACCCCCTTGTTCCCATCCTGCTGCCCAGGAGAGGGGCTGGCACTGCTAGGGCACCCCAGGACTCAGMCAGCCTGTGTGCCCTCCTCTTTGGGACAGGGAGGGCACCCAAGGGGTCTCCAATTCTTTCCTGCCATCCAGGAAAGAGGAGACACTCCCACGGGAGACCCCACAGCCCTTCAGTGGGTACCCACTGCCCCAGCCCAAGCCCCCAGCTGAGACCCCAAACCCATCACAGCAGCGGTGGAGGGGAGATCACACTGGGGGAGGGTGCAGCGCCCACCGGGCGGGACCCAAAGWTGGGACAGACTCTGCACCCCACTCCCAAACTCGGCCCGAGGCAGGGCGGGAGCGGGGCCGGATTCTCGGCGGGTGTTCCCAGCATCTGTTCCTGTGCAGGAAGCGCCAGAACAGCCTCGGCTCCAGCCCAGGGCCCAGTGCTGGGAACAGGGGGGGCGGGACACACACTCRGGGACATGGGGACCTGTCCCAGAGCTCAGCACTTAATTGCTTTTCAACACCACCCTGGGCGAGGCTGAGCACACRGGGACCCTTCTGTCCCCGTGTCACCCACCCCAGGGCTCTCTCCTGATCCCCAAGGGAAGGGTGTGCTCTGCTGGGTGTCCCCTCCCAGCACGGCAGTGGGGGGCGCTGGCAGCCCCACAGTCAAGGGGGGTTCACAGGGTACTGTGGGGCCGCAGACTTGTGGGACCATTGTTCAGCACTTCCCGCCCTCCCCTCGGGATTGAGGAATATTTGTCCGCAGGCCCCGAAATAAAACAATACRTGGAGAACAGCTCTGGCTCTGGGAGCGGGGAGAGCCCGGGACACAGTCCCATCCTCCGGCAAAAGGAGGTGAAGCGGGAGCTGGCCCTAAGTGCCTGTGGCCGGAGCGGTGACCCTTGTTCCTTGGGGCACGGCCAAGGATATGCTGCACCCGGTGGCCTCGGCAGGAAGGTTTGGGCGTGGGAAGCCGGGCTGGGATCCGGACCCACTGGCCCAGCCCGTTGGGCCGGTACCCCCGGTGGGACCGGCGGTCAGGGTGATGCCTGGCACACACCGGGTCACCAGCACGGGGGATGTCACCAAATGGCACATCCCTGGGAGAGGGACCGGCTTGGAATGGATCGAACCTCCCAGGGACAACCCCAAAAACTGGTCCCTGCTGCCGGACAGGGTTCACCTCTGCCAGCCTGGCTGGATCTCCGCTGTGCTTTGCCTCTGTGCTTTGCCTCCTGTGCTTTGCCCTCCTCTGCCAAGGCAGCAGCTGGCCATCACCGGGCAGAGGGAAGGGATGAAATTGGAGACGGCAATGATGACAGGAGMGCTGTCAGAGCCTGGAGCGCTGCCCGCGGGCATCCCGGGAAGTCTCTGCTCCCTGCCGGGAGCACCCGAGCTTCGGGCCGGCACCGGGCTGTCCGCAGGCCATGCCCACAGCCTGGTGCCAAGCTGGGTCGCAGCTCTGCCCGCAGGAGCTGTCGGGGCCAGAGCAGCCACGCCAGGAGAGCCTGGGCCGGGCAAGCCGGCACATCGCCGGCGCAGGCGCCGGGGGGACGGGATGGGCAAGTTCCGAGGGAGCCGAGCGCAAGCCGGGACTCGCTCCCCGCGGCCCAGGCGTGGAGCCGGGCTGGGGACGCGCACAGTTCGTGCCCGCGGTGCCAGCCCGCCCCGCCAGGAGCCCACCGCTCGCTACCTTTGAAGCCCTCCTCGTCCAGCATGACCGTGTAGTCCTCGGGGGTCTCCGTCAGGCTGAAGAACTTGCATCTGAAGAAGAAATCTGTGCTGCTGACCCCAAAACCGGCGCCGTCTGCCGGGGCCGGGAATCGGGGGAGGAGGAGGGTGGTGGAGGGAGAAAGGCCGGTACCGGCAGCGCTGGGGCAGGAAGAGCAGCTTGAGCAGCGGGTGTGTGTAGAGCCAGAGCCCGCGGCGGGCCAGGCTCAGCACCCGCACCCGGTGCTCCAGGATGTGCAGGTCCATGGCGGCCGCGCCGCCCCGGGAGCTGCCGCCGACGCCGCTATAAGGGCGGACACGGGCCCGCCCCGGGACCGCCCCGCACGGCCCCGGGACCAGCCCCGGACCGCCCCGCATCGCCCCGGGACCGCCCGCATCGCTCCGGAACTGCCCCGCATCGTCCCGGAACCGGCCCAGGGCCGCCCCGCATCGCTCCGGACCGCCCTGCACGGCCCCGGGACTGGCCCAGGACCGCCCCGCATCGCCCCGGACCGCCCTRGCGCCTCATCACACCGCCCCGGAATCGGCCCAGAACCGCTCCTCATCTCTCTGGGACCGCCCCTCATCGCTCCGGAAACTCTCCGGAACCGCCCCGCATCGCTTCGGAACCGCCCTGTGACGCTGCATCGCCCAGGGACCCGACCCGGCACAACCCCGCACCGCCCCGGCACAACCCCGGCACTGCCCTGCACGGCCGGAGGCATTGACCCGGCCTCGGCGCTCCGGGAGCAGCCCCAGTTCAGAGCTCCGGGATGGCCGCACCAGAGCCTCAGGACCAGCCCCAACACAAAACGCCAAACCAGCCAAATTCAGTGCCTCCAGATGCCCGAAGCAGCTCCAACTCAGAGTATCAGGGTATCCCCGAGCCCCGTGGGTGCCCAAACCAGCCTCAGTTCAACACCCCGCGGTGCTCAAGCAAGAGCCCTCTGAGAGCCCACTGCCAACCCMACCGTACCCCTCACCCAGCACCCAACCAGGTCCCACATACACAGCCCCAACACGAAGCCTAATTCACCAAACCAGGGCCACCCTCTGGGGTAAAGGGGTTTTCTGGAGGGAGGTTTGGGCAGAATTCCTGCCTGCAGGAAGCAGGAGATGGCCTGGGCACCATTTGAGGGGTGGGAAGCTGAGCTCTGAGGTGTTGTGGGATTAATTAGGGGTCTCCTGGCTCAGGAGCTGTGACACTGGGAGAGGGGGACAAGGCCTGGGTGCTGGGATGGGAGTGCACTCCATGGCACCCTCCAGGGCCTGGCAGCCACCACTGTCACAAGCTGGGGCAGGTCTGTCTCCTCCCATTCCACTTCAAACGGGCAGCCCCAGGGCTGGGTGAGACAGCGGGGCTGGGCCACCCTCTGCGGTGACAGAGCAGTGASAGAGCGGTGACAGCAGCACGACCCTGCCCGGCATCTGCCCCCGGGACCAGGGCATCTGGGCAAGTGGGACCCAGGGGAGGGTGCATGCCAGGGTCAGAGAGCCAAAGGCAAATGSGATGCAGAGCAGGAGGCTCCCCAGGGATGGAGAACCATGGGCAGGTGGGGTCCAGGTCCGGATGCCTCCCCAGAGCTGTACTGGTGCCGGATTTGGGAAGTGACACCCCTGTCCCATGACACCCTTAACCCCCGTCCCAGGCCAAGAGAGGTGGRAGCCAGGGCTGCGCCTTTACACACTCGCTTTATTGACCCCTTTGTACAAAACTGCTTTTCCCGCTTTATTTTACAAACCCACCACCCGCCCTTGGGGAGGGCAGGGGGGGGCAGGGGGGACCCCACAAACCAGGGAGCACCTGGCTGCTGCTCACCCACCCCGTCTCACCTGCACTGGGGCCTGAGGGGAGGGGGGCGGCAGTGGTGGGGTGAGCCCTGGCAGGGTAAACACTCCCCCTGAGCTGTGGGGAGCTTGGAGATGGGAGGGGATGGGATAGGGGGGCTTTAGCCCCAAAACTCGGCATCAAATCTCGCTGCCTCCAGCGCATCCTGCCTCGGTCCCTGTCCTGCCTCGGAGGAATAATAAATAGGCTCAATGAGTAGGTAAGTTGGGTACTACATATAGGGCTACAGCTTGATATATCCTCACTAGATAAAGGAGGGGCGAGGGGTCCCCCGGCTCCTTGCGGACTCCCAGTGCCCTGCGCCAGGCCCAAGTGCTCAGAAAGTGGGACTGGGGCTGCCTGGCCGGCACAGGGTGGGGGCTACGGGAGGGACTGGGGGATGATGGGTGGAGGGGCTCTGGGACGGGGAGAAGGGCCCAAGGGGCAGCCCAGCCCCCCAGTGTGGGGAGGGAGCTCAGGTGGCTCAGCCACCCCCTGCCCGGGCTCCCACCGCTCGTGGTGCCAGCACCCTGCGGGGTGGGCACCCAGCRCAGACCCACGGCATCTCCTTTGGTCACCACACCTGGCCAAGCTCTGCAGTCACCCCACGGGGACCACGCTGTCCTCACGGAGCCGCCCAGCCCCCCTGTCCCATCCCTCCAGCTCAGAGCCCCCAGCGCTGGGTGCCAGGGGTCCCCCCCGGTGTCCTCGCGCCCGGGTCCGTGCGCAGCCCCGCTGAGCCCGGCTGCCCGGGGGGTGGGCCGGGCCCTACAAGTACGTGTCCTCGCTCTCCCGGGAGCTCAGGCTCTCCTTGGACTGGTGGTGGGGGGAGACCTGGGGGTGCAGCAGCTCCCGGGTCGTGCCAGGCGCCCCGTTGCCCTCAGCCCCGGGGCCGTTGGCAGGACTGGTGGGGCCCTTCTCCCGGCTCTTCTCCTTGCTCTTGCGGGCYTTGGGCACTGGGGCGGGCCCGGGGGAGACGATGATGGAGGGGACGGGCTCCAGCGCCTTGCGCGGCGCGGGCTCCGCCTCGCTGATGGCCTTGGCGCCGTGCAGGCGCGGGGGGGACTTGCACTGCAGCTCCCCGTGCGTCTCCCGCCACTTCTTCAGCTGGATCAGGTGCTCCCGCTCAATCTGACGCTCCGTCACCGGCARCTCGATGACCTGTGGGGACACTTGYGYCATCAGCACCTCCCCGAACAGCGACGATGTCACCTGGGCTAGGTGTGGGATCCCCCTCAGGGCAGAGGCAGCCCCTAACCAAGCTTTTTGGGGGCTGCTCCCATGCTACGCCTCATGTGCCCACCCAGGGACAGCCCAGTCAGGCAGCACTGGCCAAACTGGGCAAACTGGCCCCCAAACCATCTCCAGCACCTCACCTCCTGTACCAGGAAGGCCTCCTGCATGATTTTGGGGCTGAGGGCCCTCAGCCTCTCCATGGTCTCGTACTGGCCCTGGCAGGACTTGAGCTTGTCCGAGGAGCCCAGGGTGTGTTTGAGCAGCACCAGTCCCACCCGGAAGATAATCTTCACTCCTGCAAGAGGAGGCGTGAGGCAGTGAGAACCAGGCAGGATGGGGGGATGCCACCACCATGTCCCTCAGACACTGTGGGGCACTAGATCCCCCAGTCAGCACACACGAGAGGGTGGATTTGGGATGTACATGCCTCCCAAACCCCAGGAAAACAGCCCATCTCCACCTCAGGCATGTGGCTGCCCCACACCTGCCAGTCCCATGGCTGTGGGGGTTGCAGTCTCCCCGCGAGGAGGAGGAGGARGATGGTGGGGAGCTCCTACCTTCGCAGAAGAACATGTCCCAGACACGCAGGACGGAGCTCCAGGGCAGCGTGCGGGAGAAGGCGCACATGAACCACTCGGTCATGTACAGGATGGGGTCGATCTTCTGCTTGCTCAGGTGCTTGTAGGCCACGGGGGACACCTTGTGCAGCAGGGAGAAGAGGATCTGCCCGTCCAGCTGGATGGCTTCCTGCAGGGACAGGGACAGCATTCCACTGAGCACAGCCCTGGGATCAGCCCCAGTGGGATCAGCCCAAMTATCAACACCTGATACAGGAGCAGAGCTGTCCCATGCATGCAATGGAGACCCCCGTCCCTGACTGAGCAATGATTCTGGGAGCCATGGCACAACAGGGAGACTGGGAATGCCCAGCACCTCCCCAGACCCCTTCTTCCTCCAGGGAGGAGCTGGGAGAGTTTTTGGCTTGATGATTTAGAATCATGGAATGGTGTAGGTTGGGAGAGACCKTAAGGCTCATCTTGTTTCACCCCCTGCCATGTGGCACCTTCCACYGTCCCAGGSTGCTCCMAGCCCCAATGTCCAGCCTGGCCTTGGRCACTGCCAGGGATCCAGGGGCAGCCACAGCTTCTCTGGGCACCCTGTGCCAGGGCCTSCCCACCCTCCCAGGGAACAATTCCTTCCCAATATCCCATCCATCCCTGCCCTCTGGCACTGGGAAGCCATTCCCTGTGTCCTGTCCYTCCATCCCTYGTCCCCAGTCCCTCTCCAGCTCTCCTGGAGCCCCTTCAGGCTCCAAAAGGGGCTCTGAGCTCTCCCTGGAGCCTTCCCCTCTCCGGGTGAGCASCCCCAGCTCTCCCAGCCTGGCTCCAGAGCAGAGGGRCTCCAGCCCTGGGACCATCTCTGGCCTCCTCTGGACCTGCTCCAGCAATTCCATGTCCTTCCTGTGCTGGGCCTCAGGGCTGGGGCAGATGGGGTCTCACCTGAGCAGGGCAGAGGAGCAGAATCCCCCCTTCCTGGGTACCCATGCTGGGGGAYCAGCCCAGGGCATGGGGGGTTTCTGGATCCCAGTGCACATGGCTGGGGCATGGCCAGCTCTCATCCACCRGCACCCCAAAGTCCTTCTCCCAGAGTTGCTCTTGATCCCAGGGGTTGCCCCAAGTGCAGCAACTTGCAGATCCCTGCCTCTGTTGGTCACCGTGAGCCCTTTACTCACCAGTTTCTCGCTGTAGTAGCCAGGGAGGTACTTCTCACAGATCTGCACCAGGCACCAGAACGCTTGCTGCAAGCCAAGGGACAGCAGGTGAGTGTCCAGGACACATCCCTGCAATCCCCTCCCTGCTTCCGGGCCCACAGGAGAGGGTGGGAGGCAGCAGAGCACCCCCGGGGCACTATGGACTGCCCTGAGCCGGGCACCCCACTCATCAGCACCCCTGCAAAAGGGCCCCACCCTCCCAGGAGGCCCCGTCCTGTGCTGAGCCGCGTGCCCGTACCTCGGCCGGCATGTGCATGAGCAGGACGGCRGCGATGGGCGCCTGGGCCTGGCAGTAGCCCTCCTCCGGGCGGTACAGCGTGTACGCCTTCAGCACCCGGAACAGGTCCTGCTGCCTGTGGAGACACCCCAGGCACCCACAGGTGGGACAKGACACCCAGCAGCTTTCCCCGTGCACCCCAGCCCGTGTCAGCCCCCCAATGGGATCCTTTTCCCACACAAACCCAGGGCTACAGGACACAGCAGCTTTGGGAAGCTCTGTCCACAGAGTGCATCCTG